ACAGAATGATAGATCAATGAGTTGTTCAAAGATAATATAACAAAACAGATGGAAGTAGAAGTAGAAGATGGTGTGGTTTTAAAGATATTCAAAGAAAAAATTAAAATGATATTAAAGACAGCAAAAATGGCAAAAGCAGTATGTCCAGACCAAATCCCAGTAGAATGCTTAAAATGCATAAATGATTAAAATTATACAATATATAAAACACTAGCGGACCAACTCGACATCGAGTTTTTTAAATGAAATTTTTATTTTGCGAGAAAAATTAAAAGATCAATACAAACAATATAAGCAAGAATATACATAACATTCATCAATAATAATGCAAGTAAAAAGTGTATTAAATATCACGAAATATTTCGTCGAAGACAATGTTTATTGTTAGAATGTCTCCATTTTCTGAAAACTTTTGCTTGGCACCAGGAGTTATGTAAACTTTTACTTTGTACTTTTAAAAAAAGACGAAACCGGAAGTCGACCTCAAAACCGGAATGCAATTTTTAGTTCATCAAATGTCGACGTGGATATCATTTAGCAGTTAATTTTGCATGCTGATCACGACTCCGGTGTCAGATTTGCTCTATCTTGACGTTTTATGCGCGTTTCGGGTCACTTCCGGTGTCAAATCGCAACCGGAAGTACATATTTAGATTCGTCTCGACGAGACCTTCCGATCCATTTATACATTGTGGAGTCTAAAACAAAGTAAATTTTAACTTCCGGTCATCTCAAAACCGGAAGTGAATTTTTGTGCAAAAAGTATATCTTGACAATCTCATACGTAGTACTAATAGTATTCCGAAAAAATATTTTAATTATCTAATATGGTTTTTGAGTAAAGTGGTGGACAAGAAAAGGGCTTAGCGTTTTAGTATATAAGATGATATATACGGAAATAATGATTCTTCTTCTTGTGGTGCCTATCCGTTACGGATGTCGGCAACTAGCTTGGCTATTCTAACTTTATTGACCGCAGATCGAAATAGTCCTGAAGTGGTCAAAGAAAATCATTTTCGTAAATTCGCGAGCCATGATATTCTTGTTCTTCCTGGTCCCCTCTTTCCGTAGACCTTTCCCTGTAATATAAGTTGCAGCAGGTTATATCTATGGTCGTTTAGCATTATATGTCCAAGATATTCTAGCTTGCGCTGTTTTACTGTGGATATGATTTCACATGTCGTATCCATCCGACGTAGAACCTCAATGTTTGTTACTCGGTCCACCCAGGAGATCCTCAGTATCCGTCTATAACACCACATCTCAAACGCCTTGAGTTTTCCCATGGATACCTCGGTTAGTGTCCATGATTCAACCCCATAGAGTAGCACTGTAAACACGTAGCATCTCAATAAACGGATTTTTGTTTTTTAGGGTAGGTCGTGGCTCTTAAATATCTTGCTCATTCTGAGAAACGCTGACCTGGCTTTTTCAATTCTCTGTTTTATCTCAACTGAGTGGTCCCATTGGTCGTTTATGGTGGTTCCTAAATAGTAGTACTTGGAGTATTTGTTGCTGATCTACCAGTAATTGACTGGGTGGAATATGCTTCTTACTGATGACCATGTACTTTGTTTTCTTGATATTAAAATCAAGCCCGTACTCCTGATTCTCCACAACTGCGTTATTAGTGTCTGTAAACCTTCTAGACTGTCTGCAAAGAGGATGGTGTCGCATGCATATCTGATGTTATTCAGGCGTTCACCATTTATGAGAATACCCTCTTCGATATGCTCTAAGGTCTGGCTCATGACGTGTTCCGAATAGACGGTAAATAATAGGGGAGAGAGTACGCAGTCCTATCGTACTCCTCTCTTTATTGCAACTTCCTTTGTTAGTTGGTCTTTCACCCGAATGGTTGCTGATTGGTTGTAGTATATGTTCTTGATTATTCGAATGTCTTTGTTATCCAAATCAGTTGCCTTTAGTATATCCATGAGCTTATCGTGCTTGATTCTGTCGAAAGCTTTCTGGTAGTCGATAAAGCATACATAAATATCGCAGTTGAAGTCTCTGCACCTTTGAAATAATACAAATGCAAAATCGACGGTCGCTTCAAGCGTTGTTTCTAAGAGAACAGTTTATTCTACACAAAAAATGCTTATAAAAATTTTTGTTTAAAATTGTCTTAGCTACAATTTGTATTTAAAATATTTTTTCTACGGTGTACATATTCTTTGTAAATCGATTTTTTTGTGTTTTACCCCCTACGAGGGTAAGTTTTAGGGGAAAAACCGGGGGTAAAAGTGGTAAACTTTTGTGGATCTTTTTTGGAGTCCCAAAATTAATATTCTCTGCAAAATTCTATTTGTTCGTATGATTTTTAGGGGTCAACTCTCTTGACGACTGGACTAGTACGGAAATAGATAATTTGGCTAATTCTTATAGCCTGAGATCCCACTGCAGGATCACTACATTATTAACGTAGTTCATTAGACGTACATTTGTACATATATTTAAAATTAGGAAAATACATTAATAATAGGTTGCCAGTCAAAAAGTGGACGCAGATATTTTTAATTCAATTAATAGTAATTAATTTTTGGCAAAAATTTTATTTCATTTATGACGTTGCTAATGACGTACATGCACATTTTTATATCACATTAACGCTAATTTTTTTATAATGATAATATAAGTTTTCCTGGCAAAAAAGGGTGAAAAATTAGTGTTTTCAGCTGTTAAAAACGCGAGATATCAAAGATAAAATAAAAGACAGCTAGGGCGCAACGCAACTGGTTTGAGTTTGAGTTGATCCGCTGAGTAGCGACGTGCATCCAATGTACTACAGTCGAAAAATTTGCACTTATAATTTGACAGTGTATGAGCTAGCACCGCCAAATAATGCGTTTTGCTATAGCTGGACAGAGCTTCATGGAAAAAAGGGTAGCTTAGAAATTGGCACCTGCCTCTTTACTTATATTAATCAGCTTCCCACTAGTGTAAATATATTATCAGTGTTTTCCGACACTTGCAGTGGACAAAACAGGAACCAAAATGTTAGCCCTTTGTTACTCTTTTTGGTTAAAAAAAACCCAACCTTATCCCCATATAAATCCCATTTTCTCCATTTTCTTAACTTAGAAGGCCTTTCTGAGCTGATTAAAAATATAACAAGAGACATGAAAAACGAAAAAGTAAACTGGTTAAAAGTTAAGTGTTTTCGATACCAAAAGGTTAAACCAGGAATCTTTGAATATAGGTATGATCATACCTCAGAATACAAAGAGATATAACGTTTTTGGGAGAAGTCGAAAAATACCTAATTTGAAATAAATAACGCTAAAGGACGCGTATACAAAGATGCCACCTACAAGTTCCAAAAAAAGAACAAGATTTATTGAAGTTGTACAAATCGGGTATACAACTGGTACAATGGTATAATTTACCATCCTCCGACGTTGTTCAAAACAATATTCCTGAACCAACACTTAAGTTAAATATACTTTAAGACAAGTTTCAAATTACGCCAATCAGTTCAGGCAAAATAGGTTAAGTACAGTTTTTTTGCATTTTTTTTAATTTTTAACATTTCCAATTTTTTTTTATTGATTTTTTGAGTTAATTTTCTTCACAGTACTACAATCTATGTTATTTTATCGGTTAATAAATGTTTCCTTTCATGTAGTTGTTTCACTGTAGGCTTAAACTTTGAACCTTGATTTTCACAAAACTAACAAAATGTAACTTATCTGGTTTTGGCAGTAAACCGACGAAATAAGCTACAGACATTTAAAATGCGGTGTTACAGAAGGATGCCTGTAATAGCATGGATATAGAAGAAAAAGAACACAGGCTGTAATAGCATGAATATAGAAGAAAAAGAACACATAAGTATTGCGAGAAATGGGCATAGAATACGAAATAATAAATACAATAAAAAAGGGAAAGTTACAATATCTGAGACACGTACTGAGGGGACAGTGATATGAAATGCTAAGATTGATACTACAGGGAAAGATACAAGGAGGAACTCTTCAAAGCAGCGTTAAATAGACTAAAGGTAGTGATGGTGACATCCAACCTCCGATTGCAAGACGGCACTTAAAGAAGAAAATCAAGACAGCAGATAAAAATTGCCACACGGTAGAAGGTGGTAGAAGTAGCGACCAACTGCGCAAAAAATCGAATGACTTGCTTATGAAAAGAAAGAATAATAAGAAGAAGAACGACTAACAAAAAGAAAGTGTAAAAGGAGGAAAAACTCAATCCAGAATGGATCAATGAGTAAAATAAGCAATATTAAAAACATAAAAATTTAAATAAATAATTTTGTGAAAAGAAATGGTCTTAAAAGTCCAAAAAGATATAGAAAATAAAATAGGGAAACGTCTAATATACGATATTATGTAAAACGAACACTATAATAGACAAAACAATGACATTGTCTCTTCTAAATAAAAAAGTCATAAAAAAAGATAATGTATTGCGATATTGCAACAATTTATATTGAGTTTTTACAGGTAGGTAACACTGAGGGAAACTGATTTAGTATTAGAAATATCAAGAATGATACTAAAATATAACTTATTTGCAAACTTTAGATTATCTTTAATAAAAAATCAATACAAAGTCAATTCTTAACTTCCAAAAATGCATATTACATGGTTTTTTATTTAATTAATGGCTTTGGATAACTTGATCCATTCAGCCACGATGTATAATATTACATGTTGGTTCACAAAGTTTTTAATGTTGCCCATAATTGAGGCAATACACACATGTTAAAGGTTACCTACTTTTTATATGTAAATTATCAAAAATAATATTTAACTTATCAAAAATAAATTTTTATGCCTTTTAAATTCTAAAATTATAAAATTAACGTATAAAACCAGTTTTTTCTAGCCGTCTCTATTCAAAGTTTTGGAGACGTTTGCAAAATTGCAGGTACTTATCAACTATATTGACAAAAATAATAAATAACACTACCCTTTTAATGGCAAGATTATTTTTTATTTTGAATTTGCATAGCTATTCTTTTAATAACAAGTTCTTACCTTTTGTAATGCAGGCATGGCGATAACTTAAAACTAGAAACAGATTAATAAAGTCCATATATAAAAGAATGATTCAGTTTAAATAAAAATCTGCACAACACAATCACATTACAATTTAGCACGGAATTCTACACAAAATAAGGAAACGGCTAAAGAAGTTTTAAGATTTCTCGATTAAGAGGGGAGTGGATTCACTTTATTGGCTGTTTTGATTCGGAAGGGGAATTGCACGTGGACTTCTTTTGTAAATGAAGCGTGCCCAACAATGCGTACAAAAAATGCACAAAAACTAAGCTCTTATCGCTTGTGTTCTATTAATATGTTTAATTTTAATGTTATGGACAGTTTTAAATTTTATATAATATACATTATTTTTCGATATATTTATTACAATGATTTAAATACATATAGGTATTCAATAAAATATATGGATTAGTTGTAGTTGTGTCATTTTGGAAAGGCTTTTTAAAAATTATTTAAACACTACTATGATTTTTAACGACAGTATTTTGGTGTCATTTATTTGGCAAATATACGGTTGAAACTAATAATTATTAGTATACCTTTTTGTCACTCCGGCACCTTCTGTACATATACATATACAGTGTGGAAACCACTTATGGAATAAAATTGTTTATGTCCTTATTATAGAAAATAATAAGAAACTTTGGGACACGTTAACTTTTAAATTTAAATCTGTGCTTTTTAAACATAAATTTAAATGTACAGGGTGATCCACGCAAGTCTGGCATAGTCCATAATCCTTATTTTTGAATTGAGATTTTAATGATGATTGGTTACGGAGAGAATTTTAGAAGTCAAGATGAAGTAGCAAACTTATTTAATCAGAGGTATCCTCATAATATTTCACAAGGTACTGTGTCTAAAATGTATGTACAATTCAGAGAACTTGGACATGTCAAACCATTAAAAAGAAAAGAACTTCATTAAAAATGAGCTGAAAGTGGATATTTTGTTAAGTGTCGTCATCAAGTAAATGAAGAATGAAGAAAAACATCATCCATATAAATTGACATTTGTACAGAAGCTGACAGAAGACGATCCAGATCGTAGAATGGATTTCTGCTAAAGAATAATGCATAAAATTAACACAAATGAAATAGCTCTGGGCACAATTCTTTTTTCTGATGAATCAACATTTACATTCAACGGGGAGGCAAACCGACAAAACTGTAGATATTGGTCAGCGGAGGATCCTCATTGGATGCGTGAGACACACACTGAGTATCCTCAAAAGTTGAATGTTTGAGCAGGTATTATAGGAGAGCATATTATTGGTCTTATATTTGTAAATAGTAATTTGACACCGGAAAAATATTTAAGCATGCTAAGTGACGATGTTCTTCCTCAGTTGGCTAATTTATATCCCAATCCAATAGATCCGACCCTACCGCATGAAACTGTTTGGTTCCAGGTTTTTCCATAAGCAGGACGGTGTAATACTCCATTATGCTTTATTGCTGAGAAATTACTTGAATGAAATCTTCTTCAATAAATGGATTGGACGAAGGAGTACTATTGATTGGCTAGCTAGATTGCCAGATCTTACGCCTTTGGATTTTTTCTGTGTGGTTATCTCAAGAACAACGTATATGCAACAAAACCAACTAGCATTAAATACCTCAAACAAAAGATAACTACAAAAATACGGAATATTTCACCTCAAACTTTTAACAAAATTCGGGACGAGTTTTATAGGAGACTGTCTTATTGCCAACAACAAGCTGAAGAACATTTTGAGCATTTATTTTAATTTAATCCAATCAATTACCTCGGGTATTCTATGAATTAATTGTCTTGAAGAAAATTTTACTTAATTTCAAAATTTCATAATTTCGTAATTATTAATAAAGTATTATTAAATAAAAATAATAGACCCTACATGATATAGTTCGTTGAGATCAGGTTATTAAGGAGCTTTTAAAAACATAAAAATATACAGGGTGTTTCATTTAAAATACAGATTATGGACTATGCCAGACTTGCGTGAATCATTCTGTACATTCAAATTTATATTTAAAAAGCTCACATTTAAATTTAAAAGTGAAGGTATCTCAACGTTTTTTAATATGTTCTAAAGTAAGGACACAAACAGTTTTATTCCATAAGTGGTTTCAACACTGTAGAATGCCGAATTATAGCAAAAGATGAATATCGGGAAGAAGTGTATACATTACGTACGTACATATTAAGATTATAGAGTAACGAAGCTATTTTGCAATTTGCCGATATGACAAGTCTCTATAAATTAAAAAATCCGTCTGCTGACTCATACTCATACCTTCTCAATCTTATCTCCTTACATATTTATTACATATTTTGCAGAACCGTAAATAAAATTGCTAGAGTTAACGTCTGTGATTTTATCTAAATATTTTGCAGAATAAGAGAAAGGATGAAATAAATAGAAAATCGAAGTAAATTTCAAGATAATAAATATTACGATAACAATACAAAGGAAGATTAATCTTATATGGATAATAATATAAGAGGATGGAAAAACTGATATTGAAATGATAAACAGAACAAAGAAAATGAATAATATTTAACTTAAATACACTCTCATACAGGGTGTGTCACGACGAGCTTACACCATCTATTTATCTATCGGAAACTACGTAACACGATATTTGTGAAAATTGGTTTATGGGGATTAGAAGATATAACGAACTTAAGGAAAATGACAGACATGCCATTTCCGGTTATACCGGAAGTTAACAGTAACTTTGTTATTTTAAATATAACACCCTATATATCATTGTATTTTTAGATTCTTCAAAAATTTATAGACAATATTTTGTAAAAAGTACCATAGGTCATAACTTCGTATTTTTTGAGTTATTCATCTTTTTAGAAGAAGAAAAATAGTAACGTTCTTTCAGGAATTTATATTGAATTTGAATTTCTAAATACAGGGCGTTCACAAATGATAAGCCATTTCTTTAAACTTCAAACCATAGTAAGTCAATAATTTTAAATGAAACGCCCTATATTTTATAATTTTAATAAAAAACAAATCACTTGTCGTTCGAGACCAGTGCCGGGTTAAGGGAGGGGCTATGAGACTATTAGCCACCGGCGGTAAATTTTGAGAAGCGCTACGTCTCTCCCATCACGTTTTAATTCTATATGTGGATATTTCAAATTTATGGGGTTGATTTTCTGAAATATCATGGCAATAAAACTTCGCCTTGTCACCCATCCATAAGATCCGTGCCTTGAGGTAGCATTTCATGTTTCTCAGCGCCACTGCGCCTGGCCAACACGCCATGTCGTCAGTTGTCAGTCGCGTTAGCGCAGTTTTAGAGACTAGTCTCAAATTTTAGTTATTTATTAGTGAAGTGTTTTCGTGACAGATATAGCGTTCTCCAAGCCCGAATAAAATCTAGGAATAGTTTGGCAAAATACGAACCATGTGCAGCCTATTCCCTAAACTTGAATGTGCAACATGCAACAGAATGCACTATGAAAAGTACTTCCTTTTTTAGTTGCTGAAAGTCGCAACAGAAAATTACAGTTTGACGAAGCAGATACAGAAGAGAACCTTACACCGCAAAATAAGATTACAACCCAAGTGCTGTATAAAACAATTGATTATTTGACACTTTCTCATTTTTATTTTCTCTACCCATTTTAGAGGATAATGTGATTTCAGACAAAGCGTCAGTATTAGTGAATATTTGTTCGAATGACTTGGATACATCTCTAGCAAGTGAGTGTATTCAATTAAAACATTTTATATTGTAACTACTAGGTCAAGTTGAGTATAAGAATCATGGACGTATAAATCGTCCATGATAAGAATCCAACAACTCACAGTGCTACTTTTGTGATGGAGTTTTTGCATACCAATAATATTATTGCAACCTTCCCAAATGTAGAAATAGCATTAAGAATCTTATTATCGTTGATGGTTACTAACGCAACTGGCGAAAGATCATCTTCCACTTTAAAACGGGTCAAAAATTATTTGAGAAATACGATGACGGAAGAAACATTAAATTCGTTCGCTGTTTTAAATATTAATTAGGAAGTAATAAGTAATAATAAGGAAGTAATAATATTAAGTAGGAAGTCCAGGAAAATTTGTTTGTAAATAATTATGTCAATTTACTTTATAAGTTGTGAGTTTGTGTCTTTGTGGCTTTTTTGTATATTTTTAATAAATTACCTAATAATACTAAAATAGTTTTAATGAATTAATCCGTAAAATAGTTTCGAAACACAATTCAGATTTCTGCTTTAATCTGAACCTTCTAAAAATTTGCAAGGTATAACAGACGTTGATAAAGATGTTAAAAGAGACATGGGGAATCTAAAATTTGCATTCCACGACATGTCTCCTCAACTAAGCAGAAATCCTTAGCGAATTGGTTTCTTGTACTCATAAGAGTAGATCCGAATAAAATGAAAAAGACAGCAAAGATTTGATTTCACGTACAAGCGTCTATTTATTTGTTGATAATTAGACTATGATGCAAATTTTAGATTCCTCATGTCTCTTTTAACATCTTTATCAACGTCTGTTATACCTTGCAAATTTTTAGAAGGTTCAGATTAAAGCACAAATCTGAATTGGGTTTCGAAACTATTTTACGGATTTATTATCAGATGTCGCTATTGCGTCCATATCGAAGCCATTTTAGTGTTGCTTCTTAGAAGACAGAAAATATTTATTTTTCACGTTAAAAACGCCTATAAATAACTGTTTTGCCTATTAGGTCGAAATACGTATCAACCATGGTATCAACAGATACATAGACGCTTTGTACGAGAAATCAAATCGTTGCTGTCTTTTTCATTTTAATGAATTGTTACCCTAAGACGCATCTATACCTACTGGAGAGTGGTGGTATAGTATTACTTAGCCTTCGGCGGTCCATGAACTAAATCCGGCACTGCTTTCAAGTAGTATTACAGTTCGCTATACCTAAAGTTAATAATTTTGGAGGAGATTATGGTTTAATGTTAAAGATAAGATATTTATTGTATTAAAA